CCCCCCCCAAGGGCTCACCTTGTTTGTTTCTTTGAGGTAATGAGAAACAAATTGCTAACAATAACAGCTATTCATTTCAGTGCAGGGGGAAAACCAAGACCACAAACAAGCAAAAACTACAAATGTAGAAAAGAAGCAGGATCTTTCATCAGTTCCCTTAAACCACCTGTTGGTTCAGCAAGAGTAAAAGAAAAAGTTCACCAAGGCTCATTTTTTCTGGTTAAGCAACTATCAGTTCTTAAAGTACATCTGAAGGGTCACAGCTTTGAGGCTTTTTCTTTGTTGAGTGAGGGTAGATAAAAACTTTAAGCTTTGTTCCCTCTCCTTTAATCTTTCATCTACTTACTCAACAAAGAACAAAACAGCCATCTATTCTTCAGGCTTTTTCCACGGTAGTGAAAAAAAAAAGATACAAACCTTCATTTTCTTTCTAAAAAATCATATTAAAAAAGGGATGAAAAAAGAAACTTCATATTGTTTATAATGATATTTCAAATTCTTTTTATTACTGGGTATATAAGAAACTTATAAACCTACTGGTGGTTGTACAGAGCAAAGAGACACAAACTGATTGACGAAATCAACACGCTAATAGGAAAGAGGTGTAAAGATTGTCCAGTGTTGACTTTTAATCACCTATGACTGCCACAAAAATGCCAAAAGAAGCAGCTAAAACAATACGAGGCACAAAAGGAAAAAAACAAAAGATACCAGACCCCCTCGCTGTTAAGACTTGACAAGGGTCAAAGGTTAAGCCTGCTCACCTTCCTGTCCACAGTGATGCTCCAGGCCTCTGGTTCATCTATGCCCAGTTGTAGGTCGGGCTCATCCTCCAGGCACGACACCTCTGTAGGGACAACTGCAGAGCCACAAATAGGAGTTAATTTTGGTCAAATTCGAGGTGCCAATTTAACTGGCTATGAAAAGATATCCTAAACTTGTGTGTGTGTGTTTTGTGTGTGTGTGTTGTGTGTGAGTGTGTGTGTGTTGTATGTGTGTTAGTTGTGTGTGTGTGTGTGTGTGTGTGTGTGTGTGTGTGTGTGTGAGTCGTGTGTGTTGTGTGTGAGTGTGTGTGTTGTATGTGTGTGTGTGTGTTGTGTGTGTGTGTGTGTGTGTGTGTGTGTGTGTGTGTGTGTGTGTGTGTGTTGTGTGTGAGTGTGTGTGTGTGTTGTATGTGTGTGTGTTGTGTGTGTGTATGTATGTTGTGTGTGTGTGTGTGTGTGTGTGTGTGTGTTGGTGGGTGTGTGGGTGTGTGGTGGGGGGTTGTATTATGTATCAAGACTTTTTATAATAAGTGCAACAACTTCTCAACTATCTGCCTAAAGTTGGGCAAAATCTGAATAATTTCAGTAATAGGTATTTCCAGTTCCGTCAAATGCAGCCAGTCAGGACAGGAGGGTCTTTCTTGAATTTTTAGTTTAGGGTTTGATTACATTTCATTGCTGCGCTTTGTCTACATAGCTTTGTATAAATGCGAAAAGAGGTCTTTAAAAAGATCTGGTTTACTGGAGTACTGGGTGCGAACCTTGTCAAGATTGTGAAAGTAAAGTGAAAACAAGCCGGAGTGTGGCAGGTCTAGAATAGGGAGGGAGGAATACAACAATGGGAAATAAGACACCTGTTAAACATTTGTTCAAATACAAAAAATAAGTTTTTGAAACTTGGAGAAAAGTGTTGAATTGGAGATGAAACACAAAAAGAAAAATGATGTTTTGTAACTCTTACCCTGTAATCAATCATCTACTTGTACTTAACCAATACCTGACAGCCTGCAAGAATGCTCATTGTAAGACAAGCCCCCAAGAAAATGATGAAAGTCTGAATAGTCAAATTTCTCAGCTTGAGCTTCACCAAAAAAGTTTTTAGCACAATGATAGAACACCTAATCCTGACTGTTCATGCATATAACTATGAGAGAGAAAACGAAGGAGAAAGAGAGAGAAAGACACAGACAAATAGACAGACAGACAGACAGACAGATAGGTAGAGAGGAGGGAGTAAAACAGAGTGAGAGAGAAAGAAGGGGAATGAGAGAGGAGGGGGGAGGAAAGAGAGAGAGGAGGGAGGTGGAGAGAGAAAGAGAGGGGGAAGGAGAGAGAGAGGAGGAAGGGGGGGGAGAGAGAGATGGCGAGAGAGAGAGAGATGGAGAGAGAAGGAGAGAGTGGGAGAGAGAGAGAGGAGAGAGAGAGAAAGAGAGCGGGAAGGAGAGAGAGAGCGGGAAGGAGAGAGAGAGAGAGAAGGGAGGGGGAGAGAGAGATGGCAGGAGGGGGAGAT